TAAAGTTAGTAACACTTTTATGAAAAGTGTTACTAACTTTAAAAGTGTTACTAACTTTATGTATAAAAATTCGACTTAAATTCGAATTATAACCAAATTCATGAACTTGTATAAGCAACTTTAGGAAATAAGACGATAACAACATGATACTGATAGCCTTTAAACAAAAAATATCGATTCTTATGGCAAACGGGAAAACTCTTTGATTTGTCAATAATTTGGGAAAGGAAATCTCAGCGAATTACAGAAGATCTTAAATATTTGCATTCCTAACTAAGAGAAGATCACTCTGAATACTTGTTTACACTTTACTTTGTTGAATGCATGAGAAAAGAAAGAGTGAACAGAGGATGTCCTTTATTCATTAAAATGACAAAACTAACTACAGATGAGAGTTTTATGTTCCGTTTTTCTCCTTTAAACAATAGGAGTTTTTAAAAGGGGTGGCAGCCCAGAATGGCTATTAGTATGTAACGACATAAAATGTAAATAATTAGTTTGAAAGTAACTCACAAATATTTTAATAGTTATAAATGTTTAATTAACACATTGTTTTATTATCGATTTTGGCAACAGTTTTTATCTTTGGAATCCAGTTACAGCAGCCAGGTTCACTAACCACTCTAACCGGCGGCATGCACGATAATATATTACAAATTAAGCATATAAATTTTCTACTTTGGGCAGTATTTATTGACTGGCTATTTATTAATTTATTATTCCTCGTATGTCTCTTGAAAATGAACTGAGTTCAAATTAACCATTAAGATATCCCATTATTCTCAGATTAGGAGCTTGGTATTACATAGCTCGTTAAGTCTTCAGTTGATTATATGACGAGGATTAATTTAACGAGAGAGAACAGTTATTTTTATGGGTGGACTTTGACGAGTCAGTGATTATTTCGCTAGTTAACCGTATTTCTGCATTCAGAAGCCCGTTAAATTCGGTTAAATTTAATGAAAATATGTACTTTACTGTAAATAATACTATGATTTAACATTGAGTACAAGAAAGCTAAGGTTTCAAGTATAAGCTAGCTGCTTCACAAATTAATTAAAAACGTGGATGCTTTGTCAAATAATATTTTATATTATTACTTAAAATATTTGAAACTCTTCTATAAGTATCCATTCAGAACTAGTTGATAGCTACTACCAGGACACTTGCTAGTACAATATTTGAGCTGTTAGGTTTGCGTTCTAATGTAGGTTATTTGGTTGAGGTAAAGCATACAAAGGCTATCTGCCTAGAGGAGAGATGCTTTCATGCAGTACTTTTAAAGGAAGTATGGTTCATATGTACATGGGAAAAACCGCGAAACCGCACACGCAGTCAGCCCATTCGCGAGGATTTGATCCTCGGTCTGAACTACTGGTGTTCAGCATTTTTTACTTTCAGGCGTTGGTAGGCTCTTCTAACACAAGGACTAGATTATTTGATTGTGGCAAAGCACATTAGGGCTATCTGCTTAAAGGGACGGATGGCTTTCGTAGAGAATAGTTCCATAGATGCCTTCTATGGAAGACTGGTTCGTATACATGTTACACACGAGGAAAACCACAAAAACGCCCATGCAGCAAGCCCCTTCGCGGGATTCGAACCTCGGACCCGAACTACCAGTGTTTCAGCGACTTTACCGCTCGGCCGCTGGTGGTGTGAATCAGCACAGGTACTACAGGGTATGAATCATGTAGTGGTAATGTCATCTTACTTAATAAAAACAAAAGTATATTTTGGTACTGCTGATTCAATGAATTACGACGTATTCTATTACGTTAAATACTACCAAACAGCACCATAGTTCTTCATATATTGCTTTTGGATTTTCATAAATATCTTAAATGTTATATTTAATCACCGTTACGTGAAAATTTCTCGAACTGATGTTGATGCAGATCGTTATCAAGCACGTAAAAGTGAAATACCGTTATCGGATTTCTAAAAGCACCATGTACCATTGATATGGTAGCATTCAATTTACAGATACATATTTATATTACTGTTCAGTCATTTCAATATATCAGCATGCATATTCAGTACGTAAACTGAAATAATCTGCGCTATTATTTTATTTAAATAACGTTAGCTTAGACCCCCTTGTACAGCCATTAGGATTTCTGAAGCAGATGTGAAAAACTGCAATGCCCTCGCCGCGACTCGAACCTGAACCTCTCGAATACGCGCCTAGTGTGCTGCCGTTACACCACGATAGTTTGCAGAAAGGAGGAAGGAAATACCTTATATAACCCCCCTTTTAAAAGGCCACTAGGGATTACTGGACCCAGTCCAGAAATCGTGGTGGTGAAAAATCAGTATCAACCACATTTTAGTTCGGGTGCCACTGTAGAGTCATTAGGTTTTTTTAAAGCAGGAAATATGAAAGATGTGCAATGCCCTCGCCGTGACTCGAACCTGGACCTCTCGAATACGTGCCGAGTGTGCTACCATTACACAATGAAGGCATGCAGAAAGGAAGGAGAAAATACTTTATACCGTATTAGAATGACAAAAAATTAAGAACTATTATTTGCATTTTTTTCACAGAATCATGGTGTATTGATATAATATATTCACCCCATTTTAAGAACTTGGAATATGGAATCTGATATTAGAAAGAATCTGCATGCATACGTTGGAATGCATTTTGTCAGATAAACAACTGTAATACAAAAAAATGCAGAAAAAAAACATACAAATGTACAGAAAAAAATTAAAATGCTTGATTTTAGACTAGTGAAAAATAAAATTAAAAATAAGTTGAAAGAAGCAAAAACTTCCATCTTACTAAATGGGTTTGCACAAAACTTAAGGAAAATTATAATTTTTATAGTTTTATATTGTTACGAAATGTACAGGCGGGCGCGGTGAGATAGCTTCCTGGCAAAGCAGTTTAGGTTTGCCATAAAATGGCAAGGTAAGGCAGGGTTGCAATATTTGGCGAGAAATCGCCCGTTTGACGACAAAATCGGCAATATGCCATGGACGGATGGAGAACCTTATGTAACGAAATCTTACCAGTTTAGCCCAGAATGTTCTCGAACACAAGCCGAAAACTATATAAACCATGATGGTAGGCAGAAAGTCAGAGTGTGGGATAGTCAGTCCTGCGAGTCTATCGTTTTGAATCGTCATGGAGTGCCGCGTGGTCGTCGAGTGACGAAGGAGTCTCTACTGTATCGGCGTTCGTGCTCGTCGATATAGCGGTTGAGCTCGGGATCGACTGAACCGAAGATTAGAGAGCTTGCTCTGTGTGCCGTGAGTCTGCGACTTTTGTAGAGTGGAGATCTCGATAGTACGTGCGTTCCCCTCGACTACCCGAGTTTGTCTTCTTTCTCTGTACTCCTTTGTCATTTACCCTTCTGCTCCCCCTGCCCCTTCTTTTTTTCCTCTCTTTTTCCGCTTGTTATCGTAGTTCTTGATGATTGTAAAACGGTGATTTTGGAGTCTGTTCTGATACTTGGAAAATGTTCGATATTCATCAAGTTGTGTTATATCACTCCAAAGCACAGCTAACCCCGTACGAACGTGAACGAAGAAAATAACGTACAACTGGTATCCTCAGAAAATAAAATACAAATTAAAAACCTCCTTGTCGTATCAAATATGCACAAAATCCCTTTTTACCGCTATCGAATGCAATTTAATATTTTTTGCGTGGCATTGTCGTCAGGACACAAACAGGACTCTTTTTTTTCCCAACGATTAAAATGATTTAAAATGGATTCAGAAGAGATTTTTTCTATGACGTCTGTAGTACGTGTTTTCTATAAAAACATAACTCAAAAACGATTGCTCCAGATATTAAAATTCTGTGTATAGGACTGTATATAGTGGTGTGCCTTCCTTTTTTGATGGCAATCAGCCTCACCCAATATATATATATATATATATATATATATTATATGTGTGTGTGTGTATGCGTACACATTCTATTACTCCGTTCCTTGAGCTGAGTTTTATTCGTCTTATATATTGGTAAATTATAAACTTTCTACTTTCAAAATGATTGAATTACGTTGTTCTATCTTCCTGTTAAGGTTTTTATATCTTTAGTTACTGTGCATGCGATAGTTGTAGAATCATCAAGAATTTAAAAGGTGTTGAAGTGCTACTGCTAAACCTAATTTTTTTTACTTAAGCAGCCATATTTGTTCATATTTGAAACTTCGCTGAATAGTGAATTAACGCAGTTTCCTGCACCATCTACGTCTTTTTGCCGAGTGGGACCAAACGTAAACTTTCAATTTTGTGCACTGAAAAATCTGCCTTCTTGCCCGCTGGCCGAATTGCTTGCTTTTACGTAGAAATTCTAATTTTAATTGTAAATTTTTTTTAAACTTTTTTAACAGTATTTGGTGTTATATGTTTTTCTACAGTCTTCAATTTGTAATAATGACATTTTTAAGTTTTTATGTATTTTTGTCTTGCCGCGAAGTGAGAACTGAATTAATTGAATGAGAAATATATCTCTAATGATTTTCGTGGTAATACGTTTAAAGGAAATGCAGCACAAAATGAGTATAATTTAATATTCCGTACATGCGCATAATTTAATATTCCATGGTATCTGCCTCAGATTTTTCGCATAGTAATAGTATAGTTTTGTAATTCATAATTACAAAAAATACGTGTTTGTCTTTAAACGCTTTGTAAAGCTCGTGTGGAGATGCGCCATAAACAGTCGCTTAATTTCCTCTGCTCAATTAGACAAAAGGCTGCACTCCTCTACAGTTTATGTTAATCGAAATTCAAATCGTAAATTAGCTTATTAATTTATTACCACCAGCTTTATTGCATACTATCAAGGCATTCCATCTAATATATGTATAATACATTTATGTGAATTAAACGGAATGATACGTGGGTAGATAATTAGAAACATGAATTCCATTTAAGTCAGTTGTATCTATAATTCCATGCTGTGGAATGACATTTCACTGAAGGTATGTGGAATAAATTTCGTTCCTTATTCCCTACAGGTAGAGAGTGCCTTTAGCCCAAGGATTGGCGGTCGCCCTAACCAGCTAGAAACTCGTTACCCAGCTGGTGTGTTGGGTCTTCGGCTTCGGCATCAAAGTCTGGACCGTGCAATCGTTCGATCCGCTGTCATGTTCGCCGTTTCTTCTATGGTGCATGGTGCTGATTTTAATCCGTGGACGTCGGACGAACATTCTCTCAACTACAGCGTTCCGATTTCTTGCTGGTTTGGGCCTGGACTCAGAAGGGAAGCTTTTGCGAGGTTCGTGTACAGGTAGGTTAAGCAAAACAATCATATATCATTTACTTTTCACTGCAATCTCTACTGTTACAGTAATTTATATATATATGTAAATAAAAATGTCTGTATGTGTGTTCGTTTGCTCGCGATTAACTCAGTCACTACTATAGTTATCGTCACCAAACTTTCTACAATTCTTTTCTGGGACCTTGGAAAGGTTCACGTCCACTTTTTCCAAACAAAAGTAGCAAAAATCAGAAATATTAATTTAAAACTCTGAAAACAATCATTTTCGCTCTCATTTGTCCGAGTGGCAACAGTCTCGCACGCTGGAGATAAAAATTTGCTTTATATCGAGAAGTGTTGCCACTGCTGGTTTTCAAATCGTAGAGTTTGTTAATCAAAAATTTGTAAGTTTTACAAAATCTATATATATAAACAAGAATGTCTGTGTGTTTGTTCGCGTTATTAATTTATGATTAATTTTTAGCCACATTTAATGGACTAAAATTGAATGTAGGTGAAATATTGGATAGAACCTGAGCTTTTACGCCCCTTTGATTAGAAAGACGAAAATCATTCAAAACTGCATGCCATTGTTGCTGTTATAATGAGAGAGAATTAGTTTATTTTTCTACGGAAATTTTTTATGTGGGTTCCATATTACATCAGACTGAAAAATGTGTGACTATGAATCGCATTTTTTCCATTGTTTTTAGAGAAGAATTACAGCGGTATCGTTCTCTCTGTTGTTAGATACATTACTCTCAGTCTAACTTAACTGGCATCGGTTATTTCCGCTAGTTTTATAATAAAGCATGAAAAATTATTCTTCTAATATAGTTGGTTATACCACATAGTTTTCTTATATAAGAATTCATTACCTGTTACATACATTTTAACATTAGACAATATCAAGGTTTATAAACTGACTCTTTGAAACCTGCTTAAAATCTTTAAAAGAAGTGTAAAAGCGCTAAGAGTTTCGGGGAAAAGGTATTTAATTCTAAGTGGATATAAAATTCAAATTTCAAAAATTCAAAACCTAAGCCGCGCTTACCCGAAAAACTTTGTCAGAAGAAAATACTTCGATGAACGTAATAGGAAACATTTTCCATAGTTTCCTTGAAAGTATCATGTAAAGGCTCTGCCATAGCACTTAGACAAAGGCTGCTACTAGCGGTGGAAAAGCCCCCAGGACTATCTGCCTAATTGGAGGGTTGCCTTTGTGGAGGATTTTCTGAAGGAAACTGACTGATATACATGTTACAGATGAGGAAAACCATGGAAACATCCAAGCAGCCAGCACGTTCGCAGGATTCGAACCTCGGACAAAACTACCAGTGCAGTGCTCAGCGACTTTACCTCTGCTGGTGGGCTTGTGTAAAAGCGGAGTTGTTTGAAAAATGCGTTTAAATGGAAAGCGCTGGTCATGATTGGGCGACAGGGAGTATCTTTGCGGAGATTCGTTTCCAGTAGCATAAAGCGCGTAGTAATAAAGAAATTTCGCACAGGTCAGTCCGAAATGGTATAGGCATGCAGTCGTCTAGTGGTGAAATCGCTGAACACCGGTAGTTCGTTCTGGGGTCCCAATCGCGCCGAACGTGTCGGCTACATGAGAGTTTTCGTGGTTATCTCCATGTGTAACGTACATACGAGCCACTTTCCCGTAGAAAGTCTTCCACGAAGACATCCTTCACAGAAGACGCCACAGAAATCCTGCAACAGGAGGTGTGGAAAAAACATTATCCACATTCTCGCGCTTTGCGATTTCCTTGTGCTCGGGCTTATGAAGGAAGAATTTGCAAAGAGGCGATAACAATTCGGTCAGCAAGTAAAAACTTCGAGGCGATAACGTTTGAGGGAGAATTCTTCGAACAGGTTATAGAGATATTTCTAGTATGCTACGATATATGTTTGAATAAACTTGATAATTGCGCATAAAAGTATTTTTCACGTAAATAAAATGCTGTCATATATATTTTTAGTACTTCTTTCCCATGTGATTAACTTTTTGACTAACCTTTATATATTTAATCTAGCTTCAATGCACAATAAAATATGAAAGCTTTCAGATTTTATATTATGCCCAAAAGGGGAGTTTTTTTTTTCCATTTACACACATATACACATTTGGAGAGCCGTTTCGAGAGTAACTGGGTTAAGGGCACGCTTGGTTAAAAATATTTAAAAACAGCATATCTTTAAAATTTCCGATAGAGAATCTCGCGCGTTGGACATAAAAATCTTTATTCCGTGCAGTGTTGCCACTGGTCGCTTTGAAATTGTTGAGTTTCTTAATCAAAAATTTGTTAAAATTTTACAAAATATGAAATAGAGAGTAAAACAAATTCGAAGTTCAAAATTCGGGCTGCCGGATCTCGTATGGGACTATGTTATTCAGAATTGGATGGCTCTAGGGACCGTTGTTTTTTCACATTGCGAGAAACATTAATCATTCACACAAATTCTTCATTATTTAGTTTCTTTAAATATAATACTGGGCTGCAATATTTGGTGGTAGCAATTTCAAAAGTGATTCAACGCTTTTTAGTGATTCACTGCAAAATGCCGTTTCGAGACTAATAGCCATTCTGGGCTATCCTCCTCTTTGGGCTGAAAATCAATTTTAATTTATAAAATGTTTTAGCCATTTAAACAAAATGGACATTCTTTGTCAGTCTGATAAAGGAACAGAAACCCTTTGTCCATTACCTAGTTTCACCAGACCACCAACAAGTATCACACTGGTAGTAATTTCAACGAACTCCATTAGCGATTTTACAATAAACTTTCTTTTTGGGTTATTTTAGATCATGGAGAAGCATTATGAGTTATTTGACGAAAGGAAAGAATGCTTCCGTGAGGAATTTTCTAAGAAAAATTTGGCTCCGGTTCACGTTCAAATGGGAAAAACCAGACTTCCCGTTCGACGGTATTTACACTCATATATTCAGCCATTTACTCATATATTCAGCCATTTTATGGTTTTACTTTCTCAGGAAAATCGGCTGGTGTTCACTTTACACGTTGCAATTTCCGTTCGCCGTGATTTGAAGCTGGGTCGAACTATCCGTGTTTGCTGTCTTATCCTCTTCGCCACTCTTAAAAATCCAAAGATGAGTTACTAAAAGCCAGAGATTGGCCTCTAAAAGACTGTGTTCAAGTTACAATGAGACAAGAAGCTTATGTATAAGCTATGTTAAAAAATATCGAAAATTACACTGTTTTTTCTTATTTTCCTAAAAAGTACAATTTTGCACTCAACACTCCTTTATAAAACAGCGATTTAATTGGAATTTTAAATTCTAATAACGAATTCTGATATCGGACAACATTTATATCTCGATAGCGTTTGCCGTTTTTTTAAATTTATATCTCCTCCGAATTTTACCGAATTCAAAAGTTTCGTGAAGATGCTCCCATTCGCCAAAAGTAAAGATTAATGCGGATTGTTTGTTCCCTTTCACTGCAAGTGCAAATGTTGTTTTTCTTTCTTTTAAGCTTTTAAATCTGCTGAGGTATAAAATTCGATTTATAGAGATTACATGACTGTATTGGTATAATTTCAATTTTGCAAAGACCTCGTGATATTGGAGAACACAAATGAAATAGTCTTATGAATTATGCATCAGTTTGAACCCCCACAATTCATTATGAAATAACATTTATTTTGTATTTCTTTAAATAATATCGACATGATTTCACTTAATTCTCTTAACTATTTACTTTTCAAATGCTCCCTCCCCAAAAACACCAATATCATGTAACGTCTTTAGCATATTTTACATTGAATTTTGGGATGTTTTAAAATTTGTTTTCAGTCAGTTTCCTTTTTAGCCCAAAGGGACAATTTGCCCAGAAGGGCTATTGGTTACGTTTTGGCATTTTGCGTCGGTAAATGTCGGTTCACTATTCAAATTGTTGCCATCAAATATTAGATCCCTTCATTATATTTAAAATTTAAATGATGAAGAATCTGCAAAAATATATGTATATTTCTCGCACTGTGAAAAACAACGGTACCTGGAGCCATCCAGTTTTGAATAGCGTACTCTCCATTCGAATATGGGCCCAAATTTAGAATTTGTTTTTATTATCTATTTCGTATTTTGCGAAACGTTAGAGAAATTTTGAATACCAAATTCAACGATATCAAAGCGAGCATCGGCCACACTATACTGAAAAAAAATTATCTCCAGCACGCGAGACTGTGTATCGGAAATTATTAAGATATGCCCTTTTAAGTATTTTGTGATATTGCTGTTGAATTCAATTTTATGGTTTAAGTGCGAAGAACATAATATTTAATATGTAAAGGTAACGCACGAAACGTTAGAAAATGATCCTTCTGGCGTAATATAAAATCTGAAAGCCTTTCATTTTTTTTTTTTTTTTTTAAATAGCTGCTAGGAGTGAATGAGATACAAGAAAATTACTGCTATTCGCATCACATTTTGAATAAGATAAGAAAAATTAGCAATCAACTAGGATGCTGTAAAGTCTTTCCACTCTGAAGTTAAATTGATATGTTATCATTTTTGATAATAATAGCGAATATTGTAAGGCCCTTTAAAACACTTAAACACTGGGGTTTCCTCCCAAAAACGTCAGTCAGATCTTTAGAAATCCTGTAAAAATTTTACACTGTGATTCTTTATTCATTTCACTTTTGAAGAATAAAACAGGAGTTGTTGATGGAAACATAATTTTTGTTTTAAATCTCGGACAGCTTATTGTTATTTATGTCACTTTTTTAGTTTACGCTACGGTTTCATATTTAATAACACGGGGGATTCTTATTAACAGAGAGAGAGAGGATCTGCGAATTCACGACATTCAGCGAAAATTAATTAATTTATCTTACTTAATTATTGAAATTAATTTATCATAGTCATTAATCAAATTAATATCATTAATCAAATTGATCATAGTAACACATTAAGGCACACTTTACAGCCTCCCTAAAAAGGGATACTTCAATATCTCTGTTCTACTGAGCCGATTGACAAAATTTAACTTGCATGTTTCGT